TGCCGCCGCCGCAGCCAGCCGGGGCATAATACGGTAAATAAATACGAGCATGGGGATCCGCGTGTGAACGAAGCCCCACTCCCCCTCCCCTTTTGCTTTCGCTCCCGAGCCGGCGCTTTTTTTTTCTTGAAATTTCCCTCTTAAAATGAAGGTGCGTGTTATACGCCGGTGCGTGTTATACGCCAATAAATACGGTAATATTTCCTATTGTTCATAAAAAAAAAGGAATGAGCGTGGCCTAGTGGTAAAGACGCTCGTCTCCCACTTGGAAGGTTGAGAGTTTAATCCTAGGTAATGGCAGATGCTTCTCTCCTAGGGCGCAAGGAAAAAATACCTGCCATGAACTCTGTGTGGGTCAGGAAGGGCATCCTGCCAGTAAATGCTCAGCTCCACCAAGTCGCCCTGACTCTACTCTGAATTAAGGGATTACCAGGTCGTAAAAAAGGAGTTCATAAAAAAGGAATACTGTCATTAACTGCTAAGTGCATTATCAGTTAAATTACTCTTTGTAAATTTGTTTGCCTTAACTGTATGCAAGGTTGTAGTGAAGCTACTTTGAAGTCAGCTTAGCTCCCAATTTGATATTCTTTACATATGTAATTTTTTATTAAGAATTTTGATTATAATGGTAAAATCTTATACAAACTAAATGTAAAGAAAAAAAGAATAGGAAGGAGTAAACAGTGCAAGACAAAAAAGAGAAGAAAAAGTAAGAATATAATAAACAGAAAAGAAATAAAGCAGTGACTTTGAATCTTCATCACAGCAAATATAAACAAATTTAGTGATTTTTGATCCCCTCTAAAATTGCAAACATTTATCTCTTTATCCCATATCTTATCTATAAACAAATCCACGAAACATCATCTTTTCAGTCCAGGTGTCACGAGAAAGCCCAGAAAAGATTACTAGAAGAAACAGCCTTGATCCATTAAACCAACTTATATTTCTTTCTTTTATTTTTAACAGTCTTAATCTTAATCTTTAGTGTATTCAAATATTGACATAAGAGTAATCTCTCTTCATTTTTACTTTGTTCCATCACTGATATTTCTTCAAGACTTTAATAAGCCTTTTTTTGTAAATCCAGTAAAAATTTTTTATCAAGATCAGTCTCTTGGTTTTCATTTGCATTTCATTTTTAAATCTTAAACGCAGTCAGTTTCTTTTATATATCTTTTATATATCTTATATATATCTTTTTCTGAGTCATTATCTTGGCCTGTCAGTTGTAAACTGACTGACACTCAGTGTTAAATGTGCTTTTACTTTACTTTAGCCGTGCAGACAAAAAGTATTTTTTCAAAGAAGCATAGAAACACCAGCTAGCATTACTCTAGTAATATAGTATATGGGCTGTTCTGATTTTTTGCACATCAGAGAATTATGATAAAATACAGATTCTCTATAAAACAGAATTTCTCAGTTTACAAAGTTGGTAGGAGTTATCTAGACATTTGCATAAATTTGAGAGCATGGATATTTAGGGGTTTTTCTTTCTCTCTCTTTTGACACAGAATAATGAAACTGCTTTGTTGACAGAAACTTTTGCAAGTTTTTTTAACACCGTTTTAAAATACTGTACCTGGGCTCCATTTCAACCATTGTTTCCATGTCGGAGCTGCAAAACAGACACACAGTAATTCAGTAGTTGTTACACATTTCTGCAACTAATTAGAAATGATTGAATTTTAAAAGTAAATGAATATGATCAACACTCATAGACTTGTGATATACAGTATAATTCTAGATTCAAGTCACTATAGTTAGTCATCCCAAGCATCAAAACATTCTCATCAAAATAGCCTATATAATTTTTCTAATAAAAATATTTTGATTCTTTTTTTTAAAGAAAGACCATATTAGATGTTTTTCATTTCTTTATGTTGTATGACATAGAATCAAATGAATTATCATACCTGACATCTTCCCCTGTCTCATTATCAGGAATGCTGCTGTAATATCAGAAAAAAAACCAGACAAAAATTATTAACATATTAAAATATTTTCTTCACAGCATGATCCTATCCTATTTTGTATGACACACTGAAGCAACTTTATATATTTTGCAGTTTGAAGACAAATGAATGTTATTTTTCAATTAGACACAAAGTTAATGCAATATGATCAATCTTCTCAGTTAAAAGTACAATGATACATAAAATGTCTAGCTGGTTGTGACCCACATGAACATGTAGTTGGTTGTGACACACACAGACACACGTTGAATCTATAGTATCTGCTCATGTGGATTAATTAAATGAGGAACACGAAGGTATTTAGCAATTATATGCAGTATCAATACATTTCAGGATTCCCTGTTATAGTAATATAATTCAGATACATTAAAGACATGATAGGCCTGTACCTTAAATAAAAAGCTACACAGCAACTAAAAGGATAAACAAAATTACCTGTTCCAGATCACATTCCCAGATGTCTTCTGCATCTCTCCAAGTATTCCTAATAAGAGAGATGATTTACCACAGCCTACCTGTCCCACAATCATTGTTAACTGACCTGCAATAATAGAAAAAAATTATATTATTCTTGAAATGTTGACTTACATTCATGCCAGTCCAGAGCAATTAGGCAACTGATTAAATGGATCATTTTTTTTCTTATGCACATTGCTAAGATCATCCTTATTCACAGTACAGTATACATATTGTGTTGTAGATATGGATGTGCTCCTGTTTCTGTTTTGTGCTCAGACATTTATTATTGCATAGTGTTTGATTATGAACATTTGCAAATCCTAATCATTGTAATAGATGTATTAATACCTTGAGGAATTCGAATATCAATGCTGGATAAAGTTGGAACTCCTTCTGGCGTCCATGTGAAAAATCCATTCGTGACCTACGGTCGCATCAGCAACAAGAACATAAATGATCTATGTTGGTGGAAAACATCACTCATATTTTCCCTTTTAAAATGTCTTTTTTAAAAAGTATTAATAATAGGCAACAGCTATGTGGTGTGTCTGTAAACCTGGTTCACAGATAATGGCATACAGAACATCCTTATCTGGTCTATGAATCCCTTCCCAAGCTTTTCCAATTCAATTAAAAGAAGCAATTTTAAATTTCTATTGCAACATCATAGAAGATAGAATGTATGATACAACATAGTAGATCAAATAAATACTTCTCTGTTTCATCAGTCTGCTTCTTTCTGGATTAAGCCCATTGCATCTTGATTTTTAAATGAAAAAAACAAACATGGACCTTCTATGGGATAAGTAATACACAACCAAAATCCTTTAATTTTTCCTATCAGACTTTACAATTCCTCTCTTCATGTACAAAATGGTCATGTTATAACAATAATGTGTCCCTAAGTATTTTTTACTGGGAAGTAGGTTAAATTAACTCATATTAGCTTTTTTTCCTTGTAAAGTGTTTAGGTCTGAAAGGCAATTCTGTATACTCTTGGGGATAAACTCATCTGAACTAAGCATTGTTTATTTTTAACAGTTGATAAAATTATGCAGCATAACTATGAGCAATGCTAAACATAAGAATGCGTATAGACTGATTCAATACTGAGCACAGAATAAAAATAATTATATATCTAACAATTACATTCTATTTCTACTTTCTATAGACAATTATAGGGTGTCAAACTGCCGCCCCTTGGGCCAGTTGCATCATGCAGAGGCCAGGCCCGCCCCAGCTCCAGCAATGCGAAAAAAGCTGCGATACATCACAACACATCACATGACACGGCGAGTTTGACACCTGTGTCATAGAGAAATGAATTCTATAATTAACCACATTTATTTTATTCATATAAAAATAAAATCACACTAAGGAACAAAGGTGTTAGTAAGTGGAGGTTCATACAAAAGGTAGAGGAGATGCAGCCCTATAATCCATCTTCTAGTTGTCATACCAGATAGAGAACAACCTTGTGTTTATTTTTTAAAATTGGTTGAGATATGTCTGGAAACACCATTGTTTCCACAGAAGTCTTTCTTCTATTCTAGAATCTCTACATGGAGATTCTCAGTACATACTTAATGTGAGGAGAAATCCATACTGAATATGCTCAGACACTTTTATTCACTCTTAATAAAGTTGACATGAAGATTGCTACAGATGCCCTAGCATAAATTATGCCCTAGCATAATTTAAGCCTGAAACTAAGGAGTGGAAGGAGTGGAAAAAGTAAATGACTAGATTCACACATTATGCTAAACTATAGTGTGATTTGTTTGATTTTGGCTTATCATATTGAGCCTCACTATTTTATGGCGTGGTGTGATACTTGAATGTAGATAATTGCGGCATGAACAACAAATTATGCTTAACAAAACTATGCGGAAACTACTATTTTCTCTTTCCTATCAATTAATCCATGCTCCTTCAAGAGGCCTATTTTCCAATCTGATAATCGTATTGACAAAATTGTTGTCTATATTCTGTGTTAGTGAGAAAAATCTTGGTGGTCCGCTACTGCAGGAGATAAATATGGATTTGTATTCTCAGCTTGGAACTATAGTACTAGAACTTTTATACTTATTAGAAACAACATAATTAGAAAGAGTGACCTTATTATCACCTTTACACAAAAATCATCTGCTTCTGTGCTGCTAACAGATCTTCTTATACGAGAGCTGTAATTGTTCCAGTCCTCTCTGGCAGGCCTCTTACGGTTAACAACTTTGAGGGTCTGTGCAAGACCAGGAAGACAGAAACATGGTGAGTGGGAACATGAATGCAGATGTCAGCAATGGACAATGAGTTAGTTTCCTAGTAGATGCACTCCTCCCCTCAGAGAGTAAAAGGTGGTTTCTATCACGAATATTTGGGTTCAGTAAAGGCAGAGGTGCATGGACTTTGTCGGTTTTGGCTGGGTTTACATACTGTAGTAAGCCATAATGAAGTTTTCTTTATGGTGGCATAGTGCAAAATATCATCTCAAGTTTTTCTGGGTGCAAACCATGGTTCATGACTTAGCAGAATATCTGAAACAAGACACTTTGGCTTCTAAAACCCACCACTTAATATAGACAATGATGCAGCATGATGCATGAAATCATTTTGTAAGTGTGCAGTTGTTGATTATCTTGGATCTCTTACTGCTGTTGGGTATTTAATCCTGTTCCAGGAGATTCTGACAAATCAGCAAACTGCATACCGTTATATAGTACTGTTGACTGAGATGCATCCCAACCATTCTGATAAGGATTGGATCCTCCCCACCCCCTCCAATTGTTTCACAAAGTAGCTGACAGTTCCTACAGCAAACTGTCTCATCATCCACTGCTGGCTTTAAACAAAGAGCAATCACAATATAATCTACAATAAGTAGATGTTAAATTTTACTACTGTAGCTATTAATTACAAGGAAAGTGACAGTTATTGGCATTACTGAACAAGCAAGGATTTAAGAATGAGATGTTGCCAGTTTCACAATCAAATTAAAATGACACTTACAAGAACCTGATATTTGCTGTGGTTGTCTGGGTTTCTTGGCTCAGGACATTTATCATACTCGTCTGCAATTTCTTCACTCGAGAGAAATTCACTTAACTTTTGGACACTATGAAAAAAGAAGAATGGTAGCAAGCTAAACAAATCATATCTGTGCTGCATACAACAGCAGTGTTCATTATTTTAGCAAACTGCAACCCTTGATCCCACTTTGATGTTCAGCTTTTGGACAGATAAGGATTCCATTTTGATTGTGTAAGTCTTTTTCAGGGTTACACTACTCCAAGTGCAACCTTGAATTCCTTTCATTATGGAGTACTCACTTCCTACAACTGCTAAACATTTCCTGAAATGATGTGGTCTGGAAATGACATGGTATGGTTTGGTACAATACAGAATGATATGGACCATTCCACTGTTCTTTGGAACATTATATTCCTTACTCAGCAAACATTGCATATTGGTAGTGTCCCTTTTAGGGTTGGATGAACCTATTGTGTTTTGTATACAGTTCTGTACTCCTTCAGTCCATACATAGTTTTTTAGTCCATCATCATATTCACAGGATGATACAGTTCCATAGCACCCAAATATATGATTAATCATAAATCCCATCAGCAATTACGCTTAGATTTAATTCTCACATGACACCAGGTTTAATACTACTAGCAAGATTGAGAAGATATATTTCCTTATATTTCAGCAGAATCAATGTTATTTCTCCCCCTAAAGAATTAACAAATGTTCTATATCTCTACCTCTACCTCTATCTCTACATCTATATATTCTGTTCGATCGTGACTGATTCTCAGAGATTGATAACAAGTCTTTGCAGGTTTTTTGACAAGGTTTTTCAGAAATAGTTCACTCTTGTCTGCTTCCTAGGGCCAAGAGGGAGTGACCAGCTAGCTTTGTGCCTAAGGTGGAACTAGTACTCATGGTTTCCCAGTCTCTAACTGATGTCTTAACAACAACATCAAACTGATTCTCACATCCCAATATACATTTACCACAAAAATTACAAGGCATACTACAGTGAATATTGGCAATAGAAGCTGTAGAGAAACTGATAATATAATGTAGGGAATTTCCCCATGAATTCCTAACAATGAAGGATCTTTGGTAGGGTGGAAAACCCACGAAAGTGATATCCTAAATAAATCTAAACCAAATTTTAATTCCTGCAGCAATGGAGGTGAATATTTTAAACCAAGTGTCTTAAAGTGTCTTACCTTACAAGAGCTTTAACAGTGGATCTAACGACACTGGAGAGTAGGAACAGGGGTGTCACAAGGATGTGGAAGAGAGAGAGCGATGCAAAGGCCACCGAAGGAGAAAAGTCAGCATTGACAAAGAGATGGGCATGGACAACAAACGTCTTATTAGAAAAACAAAAACAAAACGCATTACTTCAGACCATTTACATATTAAAGACATATTTTCAGTCAGATTTTTATTGAACTTCAAAAATCCAAAAGATCAGCAGTGTTGATGGTGTTTCTTGATATTAGTTGACCAGAACCTTTTGCAGATAAATTAAAGAAATCAAAGAAGCTTCTCTGGATGTGAATTAAGTCCATGAGTTGTGACTTGAAAAGTGCCCGAGTTTCCCAGTCAATTAACTGTATCTTATTACTGGACTGGTTCTAAATGATATTTCTACCCAAAGGAAGATGGTAATGGGAATGGGCTGAATTCTGTCATGTATGTTGCAGACAGAATCAGTTACTGTCAAAGGATTCAAGAATAACAAAACCAGACTTACTGTACGAGATGATTTTCTATAACTTTTGAAATAATATAAAGTAGCTGCTACTCTTTTTTTTTATCCATTCCTCACTCTGTCAGCTAACGCATCAAGAATATAATCCATCCTAGCCCCAAACCAGTACTCTGTTTCTGGATGATGCTGAGTTTCAATTCAGCATCGACTTGAAATCCTGAGGTGCATCTGCAATGGGAAAGGCCAGTGATTTACACTGACCTTTTTTTTATTTATATTTCATGTTTCCCTGCAGTTCTTAGTATCAACTTTCATGTTGTTCCTGTGTTTCTTAGCTCTCTACAAAGCTTTTTTTCTAGTAGCTATTGGGAAGAGCAATTGCTGAAATTTGGTGTCTTCCTTCCTTTCTATAGCATGAATGAACTTTATGGATCCAGATCGCCTTATAGTAATTTAAAATCAGCAAAAGCAGAATCAACAAATTCATTACTAAAAAGATGTATCTTTCTCTATTTTTTAAAAAAATAAAATTACATTTTAATATAAATATTTATACTTACTATAAGAACAGCTGCAATTGGTATTGCTGCATTCATGAAAACTGTGGGGAAAATGTTTCTTCTTATTATATTTACACACTTCTGTACCTAAATCTCTTTCATTCTCATGCATTTCATTTACTTTAGAATAGTAATAACTGCTATAATAAAGTGCAGTATAAGAAACAAATGCCAATAATTACAGACATTCCACCCAATATAAATGATGTTTAGCTTAACAGCGTATGCATCTGCAACTCCAACAATACCTTTTTCTTTTAGATTGCTTGTTTTATTAATCAGGTAGTGTAGCTACAATACATTGATATTGTTCTTATCAGGCTTCAAAAACAAAGAAAGACACATTGTGATTTTTCGAAGCAGATTTCTTTATTGATCCTCACCTACAGACAAAATCTTGCCAAACTAAAGCAGACTACCACCCCCATAAAGCATATAGTCTGAAAACTTCTATGGAGAAGCCATTTTCACCTTCATCTGAACTAAGTTGTCTCTTACTCCTTTGGAATGCATTCCCTCTTGGGAATCCAGACTACATTCCATCACAGTTCTGGTAGTGCTTCTGTACCATGAATGATAGCAATAAAATAATGACTAGCAATTTCCAGGAACTTTCTGGGTAGATTAGGTGTATAGTACTGATTTCTTCTCTGTGTCTAAGCAATTATAGGAGACTGTAGGGATTATTAATCACAGATGGCTGGGTATAGAAATGGGTTCCCTATTGTTCTGGGTCTTCTTTGCAGCTGGTCATTAAAATATAAATTATCCATTCTATTACTTATGTTGCCAACATTTCTTTCTAATTTGACCAAGTGATAACTGACAAATTGTTCATTTTATGTCAGAAGAAGGATACTCTTCTTATATTCCATTCAGTTTCCTGCTTCACACTACAATCTTATTGCAGCAATTAAACAGGAAATATTTCAAATATTTAAAAATCTAATAAAATAAGCTATAGATAAGCTTTCTGGGCTTAATTAAACCTATATTTGGAAGAAAGACAAAGAATTCATTTCTTGGCATCTATAAGGAGTGCTTTCTCCCCTGACTTCTGGTATGATGCTTCCAGTATCAGCAACACAGAACTACATGGATTAATGTATTATTTCAGGCAGCTTTACTTTGTATGCTGTAGTGATGGGCACCAATATTTGTAATTTTGTAAAAAGTACAAGATTCTTTGACAGACTTCACATGTTCTGCTAAACTATGGTTTGCTTAGCAATGTTTTTTTTCCAATAAACTGCATTGGCTAGCTTTATACATGGAAAGTCATAAAACACTGTTCCTTAATTAATATTTGGAGCTCTCTGTCTCTCTTTTCTCTCTCTCTGAGACTTAATAGGTTGCACCAATTCAACCACTGTGGCTTGTAGATTACGTTTTACAGTTAGGTAACTACGTAAAAATGTCATTAGTTAAGTTCAGGCATCATACTAAGCTTTAAGCATTATTTGTTGAGAATACTATAAAAGTTAACACTAAGCCATTATAGGTGATTTAAAGACTACAATGGCTAGATACTGTGATTATGCTAGCACATAGTAGACTTACCATATTGTATACATTCAGCAGCCTTTCACTGGGAAATGGTGAAATGTGAAAAGCATTTTTTTTATTTGCAGAAGGTGCTTTCTGGAATTTTACAGTATATAATACAGATAATTATATCTATAATTTGTGGTCTGGCTTCCCATTAGCTTCTAGTGCCAATTCAAAGTACAGTTCAGCAGCAAGTTTTATCAGGCACTTTGCTTATATGCTTGCATATATTTGTTAATAAATTTTGCAAATCAGAATAATGCTAAAGATTCATATTTACCATTAAATGTATAAATTGATTATTTGAATATGTCATAAATTTGTTGAAAGGGTATCAATTGAATAAAACAAATGATAAAATGCTATCATTTTATTGCATCAAAAAGTTGATATATTCCACGAGGGATTTACAGTACTTCTGGAGTTTAAAAAAGGAAAAAGTTATCTTGCAGAAATGTTCTTAGAAAATTAAATAAGAATAACTTCAATGAAACTTCAGCCAGAATATTCCAGTGCCTCACTAGCTTTTGTAAGAAAACATGAACTTTTACCAATGGGAACTTTTTTCTAAGATAAATGCAAATAGGAAAGATTCTGTTGGTGCAGTGGTTAGAATGCAATATTGCAAGCAAATTCTGTCCACAGCCTAGAGTTCAATCCTAATGTGCTCGAGGTTGATTCTGCTTTCTATCCTTCTGAGGTTGGTAAAATGAGGACCCAGATTGTTGGGGGCAATATGCTGTAATTCACTATGAAGCGGTATATAAGTCTAAGTGCTGTTGCTATTTTCATTAAGCTCAGAGCTGGAAATTTAAATGTCCCACATCCTATGAATCAACAACAATTCATTATCTCTATTAATACATTAAAATATATTTTAGGAGTTTCTGGTACAACATTATTTGCCTTTATAATTCTAACATTTAAAACAATTCATTATCACAGTCTATTTTCAAATTTAATTTCTGGCTGGCTTTCCACATCATGTTAAGCCATAACGTTTTTTGGTTTCTAGGTATTTTTTTTATGTCTTATGACTTAGTGTAGTGGTCTTAAGATCTCAATTTATGGGCTTCCTTTTCTTCAAATTTCTCTCATTAGCCAAAAGCCATTTCTTAGGATGGATCTGCTGGCAGGTAAACTGAATGAACTAGCACAGTTTAGAGAAAAAGAATCATGACTTGTCTGACTAAGTAGATGTACAGATCTGAGCTACAAAAATCAGGGCAATCATTAGAAGATGGCACCAGAAAGAGTCTTATGTATTATTTTGTTGTCATCTAGAGGTTGGAGAGACTTTTGCATTCCCCATCTGTTTAATTATAGATAAAGAAAGAAGAGATTATGGATGGAAGGATGGGTGGATGGATGCATGGATATTATTCCCTCATTTCCCATACTGATCTCTTATGAAACCCTACTCTAAATAAGAAAATTTATTCATGGTAATTCACAGACATCTGGAGGAAACCAAATGGGTGAATTATGTTCTGAAGTAATGTTCTTCAAGCAGATTAATTTTTAAAGGAAAATATCAAGATTGTTTATTCCCCAGAGAAAAGAAAATGAGTTAAAGTACTTATGATAATAAATATTGCCAATATGCCATATGTTTTGTGCATTTGGTTGCCTATTATCATAGGCCAATGCAGCACCATCTCAAGAGACCTCTTTCATGATGAATATTTAGTATGATAAATAAGCTCTCGTAGGAACTAAGGAAAACATAAGCAGCTTTTTAGTGCTAAAGGGTAAAGTTAATGCCTTAAGTACAGCCAAATTTGAAAACTTTCCCAGGGCCTTTTTCCTTGCCCCTGCTTACTGTTCTCAGCTGCTTAAAAACAGATTTGGGTGACATACTATTTATCCTTTTGGAGATAATTAGTGAAGAATTCCTATTTGCTATCAAATGTTTCATTTATAATCAGTTTTAACCATTTCAATCCACTGCATTTATTTACACATGTCACAGTAATCATCTTTCTTATTACTTACTTGCTTACACTTGAAATGCTGCACTGGTATTAACTGTATAGTTACATGATATTGTTGTAAAACTACTGTTTTATTTTACTTCTAATATACATACACAATTTTATATCCAGGAGTAGGTACTATTCAACAAAATGGAAGTTAATTCTTGGTAAATAAGCATATAAAATCAGTATTAGTCTGATATTATATAACAGAGCATTCCCAGAAAATTTAACAATTGGCTCTCACAAGCCTGAGCAAGCCATTTGTTATTTTATAATAAATTTCAGTTACAATGAAATTATTACTTTAGTCAAGATTAAGATTATAATTTTACTCCAACATTTCTACATACTTCCTTTTGCCTTTTCTATTACTCAATTTACTATTCATACCAAATAACTGTTAAACAGTAACAGTCATTAGCTCTGAATTATAGGCAAGTAAATTTCATGGAGAAAAGTCTCCTTTGTATACCTATATTTTTTATGTCTGACATACATAATACATTATTTACTATATCAGGGAGAAAAATTCAGTTATAGGCAGTTTCTAGCATTTAAATTGCTCCTCTGAGGATCATCGGGAATTGCAAGTCAATTACTTCTTTATGCATTATTAAATGTTTCACATTTGTCAAAAACCTAAAATTATTTCAGTCTTGGCTTCATTAAATTAAGTGGTTAAAAAATGCAAAACTACTGTAAATCTTTTATAACATCACACAGTTGTCTGTTTATAATCTTTAAAGATGGGGAAAACCATGTGTGTATCAAATTCTGAAATGATATAAAATTGATACAACCAAAATATATAACCAAAAGTTAATAAAGGATACAAACAGCCCAGAGCACTCCTAGCCCAGCAACCAACATTCAAATAAACAGAAAACAGCATCAGATAAACAGTCAAGGAAGAAAATAACATCCTGATCAAGAAACCATCAAAGAACCATACCCCAAACAACACAGGCTGGACAAGCTACTGTATACAAACAGCGAGCAAACTCTGTTCTCCCAGACACCAATTGTTACCTAGCCTTGTAATAAAATATAAGAGAACACCAAGAACACAACCATTCGATCCTGAGCTGCATATATTCTCTACTATTGGTATAAAACAGCTTTCTGCAATTACAGTCCCAATTCAGATGTAAAATTGATTAAACATGCTATTGGCCTAAAAGCTAGAAATATTCTCAATGGGAAAATAAGGGAAATCAGTGATTTCATGACACAGGACTGGTAACTATAGTCACTTTATCCTTATCTTAGGATAGTCATTCGCCTGTTATGCAAAAGAACGTCCATATATCTACAATTGTACATTAGATTATTCTGTTTTGACCACGCGTAAGAAGATGTTACACCATATTGGGGTTTGTTTTACTTGGATTAAGAATGCTGTGTAAATTGAAGTTTTAAACCATGATTTTCATGTAAACCAATCAATCTGAAAAGAGTAATGATCTGTGAACCAACTATTTATTGAAGATATAGATTACTGCTTTGATTTTACTTCATGCAAGCACATTAACTAATAATGATCTGACTGCTTGAAAAGGATTTTAAATTGTCATGACCATTGAGAAGATGTGCACATTTTGTCAATTTTTAAAAATATTGAAAAATTGACATTTATCTCAATATTAAGGTGTAGCACAAATATATTTCTAACACTGAAAAGATAAACTCAAGTAGAACTCAAAAGGCTATGGAATTCCCCCCCTCCCCCTAAAATTGAAGAAATAATGCTTGTGTGATGGGATCTATTCTCTCACCCCCTTTTACCTTCAAGAAAATTCACTTAATTTTTGAGGATTCATGGAGAATTCCAGGTGGAAGGAAACAAATGATTTGATGATGAACGAGCAGGAGAAATTCATTCTATTGGCTGTTTTCATTTACATTTTTTAAAAAAAAAATACACAATTGGTCTTGCCTTTGAAAACCAATTTTCTAAAGACTATAGTGCAGGATTTTTTTTTAATGTCTTGGGAGTTTTCTTGGTATGGAACGCGATCCTTTAAATATGCAATAACCTAACTGAAAACCTATTTAAATTTATACAAACATTTAAACTGAGATTGGGGACAAAAAGAAATGAATTACTTACTTGATATAGAGGTATAAAGAGCGAAAGCCTTAAGACTTGTCATTTCCTTTTGCCGAGTTTCTTCCACGCTACTGTGAAAAATGTGTTCCCAGGCATAGAGTTTGAGTAGTTTTATGCCTCGAAGCATTTCATTTGTTTTCTTCAGTCTCTCATTGGAATATTCCTGGACCATTGGCATAAAAAATAATTTGGGATTATAGCGAGATCATAAGATATAGTAATATATAACAATCCATGGTAATGCAAATTGGTTGCAACAAGACCCTATGCTTCAATTTTTATTTAAATACTTTCCCCCTCTTATTTATTTATGATATTTCTATGCCACTGTGATCAAAAGAGATTCTTGATGGTTACACATAATAATCCAGATTAAAATACCCACAGTAGGAGTAAAAACAACAAAAACAGTAAGAATAAAACCATTCGACATAAATTAGAAATACAATAAATAAAATAAAGATGGCAATGTTTGCATCTGGGGAAAGTTCTCCAAAACAATTCAGTCTTTAAGAACTTCTAAAATACCAACAAAAAGGGAGCCAGTTTGATCAGTACTGCTATGCAGAAGCAACAGTGCCTGCATTTCCTGAAAGTAAAGGATTTGCAGCAGTTTCTCTCTGGTGGATCTAACTGGTCAGGCTGATATTGACAGCAGTAGGCAGTTCTGAAGGGAGTGTAATGCCAATGTATAATGGGCTTTATATGTCATTGCCCACACCTTACACGGAAACTAAGCAGTAATTAATGCCAAATCTGGGGGCAATGTGCTCCTAACACTGGGAGCCCAAGAGAAAGTATTCTACTGCATTTGGGATCAACTGAAATTCTCAAATACAGTACTCTTTAAAAGCAGTTCCAAAAAGAGTTGGAAGCTGGGCATTATATATCCAAGACCAATTGTCACTAAGCTGCTTATATGGCAAATCTGCACAGCTTTCTATTGGTTAAGTTTTGTGTGGAATACAGAGATTTATTTCTTTAACAGTACCAGGTTTTTGTTTCAGAAAAATGAAAAACAAAACTATGCCATTCCTCTCTTTTTTCAATTTGGTGGGTAGTTATTTTGAAACTATAAGCAGATTAAATACTATTAAAAATACAATCCTCCACCCTTATTGGTAAATTTGTCTCACTATACTTAACAGAACACATTGTTGACTAAATATTTAGAATGCATATATGTCAAAGTATACCAAGGACACTGTCATAGATATGAGATTATAAATTTATAGTCTGAAATTGAGAAATTGGGTAGATATAATAATCTTGACAGAATTTACCAGTGTACTTCTTTGAGCTTGTGAAAGTTTCGTGGCTACAAAGTATTGGACAGGGGCCAGCACTATGATTACAGCTGCTCCTATTAAGGCACTGATTCCAAGCAGATAATAGAGCAGAACAATTCCAACAATAATCTGCAATGATGGAAAGAGAAGGGACATTGATTTGTGTAATGAATACAATTCTAAAACTGGATGGTACAGGCATTTAGGAGGATGGGAGAATTCTAGACATGTCGTCAATTGTTATTTTTGGAGAAGATATAGACTGTCCTACAAAAAGGAAAGCATACTCCACCTCAGAATAACTACAAATTAGAGAGAAAAGCTATGAAGATTCAAATAAGTTAGATCTCATGATCCCATGGGAGAGTAGTAGGCAAACATTTTACATTGACCTCTGTTCCCATGGGTTAACTTTAATTAATAATCCATTCACTTTCTTACCTGTACAGGCATAGCCCAGAGATTAGGACACAGGAAGAAAAACCACATTAGCTGGTTTGTGTCTATTGCAACCAGATTACAGATCTGAGCTGAGGTCATTTCCCCCATGGACATGTTGGAGGTTGATAGTCTCATGATCTTACTATAGATTTTTGTCTAGAATAAAAATGTTCAGTTTTATTTGAAAGTGGGAGGAAAAAGCAAACTTTCACACTGATAATATCTTGTTCCATATTGATAACCAATCATGACGATACCAAAACATTATGATTATAAGAATATTGAGAATTCTGAAATTATATACTAGCATCAGGACATCTAACATAAACAAATATATTGCAGCATTCTTATATAATTAAGCTTATCTCATGCTATGAGAATGTCTATTGAGATTCTCAGTCATCCAGGTCATATTTGTCCCAAGGGTGCTTTTTCAGGAGGCAACTGGACTTTCTTAGTTTTTCCTTGAGGACATTTCACTTCTCATCCAAGAAGCTTCTTCAGAAAAAAAAAGTCCAGTTGCCTCTTGAAAAAATATCTTTGGGTCATGCTATGAGACTTACATAATAGTAGTACTGAATGTGAATAAAGTTCCAACAGATTGTGAAATTTACTGATTACGAATTATTGTTTTTGTTGTGTTCTTTGTATTCCCCCCCCCTTAATCCCCTATGCATATCCTGATCACCCATTAAGGGTGATTGCCCTTCTCCATTGATCGCCCATTAAGGGTGATTGCCCTTCTCCATCTGCATACAGTTTCATGCCCGTTGCTGGTTGGCTAACTAGCAACAGGGTCTTGCCAGCCAATGGAATTGTGTGATTACAAGCCAGGGGAATCCCATAAAAAGGGCTCCCCTGGCCCAGAGAGCCAGTCCGGATTTACTTTATGCCTTGCCAATAAACCAAGAGCTGACTGTCACTCGACTCGTGTCTTACTGCCTGCGCGATCTAACACTGGCGACGAAGGTGGGATCCCAGTAAGACTGCACGACAAGGGCAACCTCGTGGCAAGCAATCTACTTCGAAGCAAGAGCTCCTCCACGCA